ATAGAAATTTAAAACCATTTTAATCAAACCTGCAATATTATAAATGTGAAGGTTTGTAAGTTAGTGAGTGTATATGTTTGTTGCTCATTAATGTCAACACGGTAGGACGTATCTCTATGACACTTATAGGCTGTAATCTGGATTAACATACAGGATATTTTATGAAGGGGGTTGCCACTTTTTCAAAAGTAAAAATTCAATTATTTGTTAAGTTAGATGAAATATTACAATAATGTGGATGTAAAACAAATGTTTAAAAAATTTTTTTGAAGAGAGTTGCCACCTTTTCATAAACATAAATCAATTTAATTAATTATATAAATCAAATATTCTAGAATGGGTACCAAATGAGAAAGGTTTAAGGCAAATTTAGTTGTAAATATTTTGAAAGAGTGTTGCCACCTGTCACGACAGGCTTTCTTTCGAAAATATTTTTAAAAAGGGTTGCCGCCCGTTTATAAATTAAAAAACATTTTAATCGACAAGTTAAATGAAATATTTAAATATAGGTGTCCCGAATGGCAGGTTTTACTTAGTAAACTTTGAGGACTTTTAAACCCCTGCAACTGCTTTTTTTGAAGACATAGCCCACAGGTTTCAAGAAACAACCCATGACGATGAAGCTCTGACACTAATTGAGTATAAACTTTTCGCAATGGTAGGAAAATGGATGTGGGATTTCAGTTCGCTCACTCTGCAACGAACGGGGGAACTGTCCAATGAGTTTTTCAGGGAGTCGCTCACTCTGCAACGATCGGGGGAACTGTCCAATGAGTTATTCGGGGAGTTGAATTATGACACCAAGTCACCAAAACACAACCTATACTATTTCCCGAGCAAAGGCAAATTTCCCATAATATTATGAACCGTGTGGAGAGCGGCCCTTATTTCTTGTACGCACCAGGGGGGACTAGCAAGACGTTTCTGCTAAATTTTCTACTGCACTAGCGGTACATCCTCAGGGGTAGCAGCTACCTTGCTCAGTGGAGGAACAACTGCGCACTCGGTGTATAAACTGCTCCAGAACCTTGCGATGCACCAACTTGCAACAGTGGTGACGGAGCTATGTTGCAACAATGCAAATTAATAGATTGGGACGAATGAGCGATGCCACACAAGCATGCGTTCGTGGCACTCGATCGAAGCTCGGAAGATATCCGCGTCAGCCGTTTGCTGACGCCAGCAGTCATCGAAAGTGGCACTGCGGTAGGGTAGATAAATGCGTGCGTCAAAGCTTCGCCAATGGGGGCAAGGGTGGAAATATTGAGCCTCACTACTAACATCCAGAGATAGAGAGTCCGCTCATGACCTCCTCCGATTTCGAAAATTCTTTTTGCATCGGAAAGGTAGTGTCCCATACTAATCTGGTTAAGATTTGATCAGTGCATCATGAGATGTATATATATATATTTTTTTTAAATGAGAATTGAGGTCGGTTATTTTTTGTAAAAATTACTTGTTTATACTTAAATATTTATTAATGCAAACAAGTTTGTGAAAACCAAAATTCTATTTCCAAGTATTTGCATTTAAGTGGCGACAACAAAAACCATGTGAATAAGCTGTTTCTCAATTACTGGGCACGAAATATCACTTTTTGCGTTGACGTACTTCTGGTACATTACATTTTAGAGAGCTAATTTTTCGCTTACTCTCTAATTACCCCGTCCAGTACGGAAATACCCAATAGCTGGACCGCTTGGAAGATGTTCAGATACAGAAACTTTTGTTGCGGCAACTCGAAACTCGATTGGGAGAGAGGGTACCGAGTTGCCCTCGTTCGTCTGAGTTATTCAAGTTGTCGGTTCACAGCGGACAACAACAATTGTATACAAAAGACTTGCAAACAGCAGGAGTGCCTGTTTTGGTGACTCCACTCACTCTAAAAGCGATTACGGTATGATCCCAGCTACTTACAGGCTCATAGACTTTTTGGTTTCGTGGTGGCCGAGTTACTTGTGTAATCCAGTGTGTGATGTATGCGATGTTTCTCTTAAAGCCTCTGCAGTGTGTATTTCTTGTTGCGGTGTTTGCGTACCTAATCATCAAACATGCTGTTTTTATTTCCGGGTAAAATACGCAGGGCGATCATACTTTGTATGGAAAAAAACGTGTAGCACCGTCAGGAAATATTATAAAACATCAACGTGAAAGTTTGTTGAATTTTTCTAATTTATGTATAAAGACCCAAATTGGAAATTATGGTTTTTGTAATATCATAGGTTTTATTTTTATAAAAAATAAGGTTACATAAAACTAGCAAAGAAAAAATAGTAAACCTTTTGTTTAAAGGAGAAGTCAGCTTTTAGGCAGGTGGTATCCTTTTCAAGAAATATGCTCTGTCTTAATCACAGTCACAGTCATGCCAAATTTTAGGCAAAAAAAAAAGACCAAGCAGTATATACACTCACTAACTCATACACTTTTACATTTGTAATATTAGGATGACTTCATTTTACTTCTCAATTAAATCCCTGAGCTGGCGGCAACCCTCCTAAAAATACTTGCCATCTTTCGTAAAGCTTCTCTCGTTTGTTACCCAGATTGAAATATTTTTTTTTTAACTTATTAATTAAGTGGGTTTTGAATTTCAAAACAGCTGGCAGCTTTCATTAAAAATATTTCTGAAATAAGGCTTTCCAATTTCTAAACCTCTCTCGTTTATAACCGTATTAAAATTATTATTTTTTTGACTTGTTAATTAAATTAGTTTTAACCTTTTTAACCGATGGCAACCCTCTCAAAAAATATTTTCAAAACTAATCTTTTTTATCATCTTTTGTTTGACGCCCACATTGTTGTGATACTTTATTTAAATTATTAATTAATTGATTTTAGCTTTTTGACAGGTGGCCACCCTCTGGAAAATATTTTCGAAATAAATTATTTTGGAACCTCTATCGTTTATCGTCTGCACTGTTGTAATATTTTTTTACCTTATTTTTTTAATTATTTTTAACATTTAGAAAGGCGGAAACTCTCTTCAAAAAAATATTCGATATGTTCATCTACGTACACCTACTCTGCCGCAAAAAAGTAGTAATTATATTTTTGTGTTGTTTGCTGTAGAATAAACCATATTTTTACAAAAAATAGCGGTAAAATATTCGAAATATATTGTGAGAAATTCGCTTTACCACTACTTTATTCTGGCAGTGTATATGTGAGCCGAATTATATAACAGCCGTTTAGTATGAAAGAGCAACAAACACACACACACACATATTCACAAATTTTCACATTTACATATAATATTGTAGGATTCAACTCTCAGACTAAAAAGTTATGTGGTACCTTCAACTGCAGCATGCTTTAATTATGTGAACAAAACTTTTTCATACATATACATTTATACGAATTTTAATAGATTCCTTTCCGCAAACCAATGTGTGCATGAGACGCATAATTACTATAACATCATTCAGCTAAAACTATACATAAATGTTATGAATTCGCCAAAGTGAGCAACGTGCGTAAATACGTATTCACACAGTGGATGCTGCTACATACACACATACATATATATTTTGTGTACCCAAGGGGTGCAGCCATGGCGTTATGCCAAAAGTATTTCGAAGTGAATAAATACACACACATCTGGTTAACTTTAAAACTCGGCGCTTGAAAAGTAACTCCTTATAAAAGGCTATATTAATACTTATGTACATACATACATACATTCTAACTTTACTCGTACGTATGTACATACGTATGTATGTCCATAGATATGTATACATGTAGACATATATGTATGTATGTATATGCAAACTTACTAAACAAATTATGTTAGTACGTACTTATCTATCCGTTTCTACTTTTACTTTATATTTATTTTTTAATGTACACAAACTTGCATACCTACCTACCTTCGTCTACGCACAAAATGGGTGTGGGCATGTACATATTTACACTTTTCTGCGATTATTCATTTATTAACATTTGACTCATGGCTAGCCCTGTGGCATCATTTGTTGATATGACCCCAACCAACGTCATAGGGTTAGCAGCTGAAAACTTATTGAACGTCACTGCATACCTACATAAGCTCGTTATTAATATGTAGTCGTGTGGACATGCGTATAGTGTAAATTTGTGCTGCTCGTGTGCTCTTACCCCAGGACACGATGCGCTGCGCTGCGCATAATTCAATGCTCAGGACTCGATGCTCATTGCTCAATGTATTGCTACAAACGCTCTCTGCGCCTAAATGTATGTATGAATGTACTATTGAGTAATAGTGTGTAGAGAAAAGCTTTGTCTATTTTCATATGGCTTGTTTCAGATGAGTGTTAATACGTTAAGCAGTGTTTGCATTGTTAAACTTTTCGTTCAACATTTGCGTTCAACTCAACGTAGGGTTGCACAATGGAAGTTGACTGGCTAAATGTTAGCTGGCGACCAGCTTTGTTGAACGCGATTAGTTGAAAGGCCGTTCAACTAAAAGTTGAATGCATAGTTGAACAACAAACGCTGATATAAACGCATTTGAACGGCGAATATTTTTTAATATTTTTTCATGTTTTGATATTTTTAGCCAATCAACGTTTTTACGTGCAACCCTGCGTTGAGTTGAACGCAAAGTTGAACAATGCAAACACTACTTTACTGCTCTTCATTTAATTTGTTATTGACTTAAAATTTCTTTCGACTTTTCGCCTACTGACAACATCATTCAACCAAAACTCCAAATAACTCATTATCAATGAGTCAAATGATTCATTATTACCTAACATACCGTCACTTTGCGGCAAATTTTTGTGCAAATTTCGCTTTAGTATTGTCAGTTAGACTTAATTGCTGTAATTACAGTTTATGTGCATATATAAATATATTGTTGTTGTTTGTCATTCTCACCAATTTTCGGGAAAAAGTGAAATTGGCCAAAACGCATGAGCAGCTTTTGACAGTAGTGAGTCAAATGTCGCTTGAGTGCTTTCAACCAAATACAAAAAGCCTTGTTGTTTGTTTACACCACTGTGAGCCACTCAGATGTGTCGAACGTGGAGTTACATGCATACAATCATACGACTAGCTTGCGCATGAAGCAATGAAGTTCAGTTAGTGTTGTACATTTCGGGGTGTTGGTTGTTATTGTGTATTCGCTTGCAACTTTGCGACATTTTTTTTTTGTACGCATTTACCCATGGTAGTGACGGATTGGCAGCACAAATTATCAGCGCGTGTCATGAGAATTATACAACGATTAGCCTTTTTGAAGTAGTAGTAATTAAATCAATAATAAAATCAAACGATTGCGACAGTTATAGCTAATTTAGTTGTGCGGTTCTGATTGAAGCTTAAAAGCGTAGATTTTTCAAAATTTTCCGCAAATCAACGTAGTAGAGTTTAGTGATTTTGTTGACGGATAACAAACAACAAAGTAGTCAAAGGAAAAGTTATTCTATATAAAATAAAATCGACTATAACTGCCACAAAATCAAATTTTGGGTGAGTAAACATTTTACGAAAATTTTACCAATACGCACTTATGTATACATATGTAGGTAAATACATACTTCGGTATACATACATATCTATTGTACATATGTACCTATTTGCCTCGGCAAACAAGATTACTCTCAAAATTGCCAAAATTTTTTGTTTACCAAGTTTAAAGATCAAACAAATATTTAAAAATGTGGTACATACATACATAGCTGGGAACTAAGAGAAATTGATTGAAAATAAAAATTGCATAATTTTTTAATTAGTGAATATGTTTATTCTTTCGCTAATAACTAGCGAAAATAAATTTGCTTGACTTTGCCAGCATCGGATATGACTTGGTGTACACATATTTACAAAATGTACAAACATAAGTATGTAAATAAATAAATGTTTATAAATGTGTGTGTTTGTGAACGTATGTATGTATCAGCCAACCCACAAACAAAATGAAAAAATAAACAAAATTCAACAATGCCGCCGATGGTTTTCGAAGAAAGCGCCCAAATAAATGAGCAGTCTCAGTCGAATAGACATAACAAAAATCGATAACAAAAATTCGTATACATAAAATGAGCGGAATAGTAGCGGGTGGTAAGAATTTGATTGTACTTTTTCTTACAACGAAGTTTCCTTAGGTTTGAAGTGCGCTTAGACGTTTATCGCACACCATCTTCAAAAGGGGCACAACTAAAAAAAAAATGTTTGATGGATTTTTGTGCATAGACCAATTCCTAGGAATTAATGAAAATATATATTCCTGCATGATTATATTTTCTAACTAGAAAAGGACTATTATACCTGTTTTTGTATTGATTGTATTGAATCTGTGCGACCCACAAGCAGATATTTTTTCGGATATGATTTTTGAGTTGAGCCTCTTTTGAAGATGGTTTGCGATAAGTATAGGTATGCATACGTATGGATATGTAAGTACTATGATACATTCGCAAGGCGGAATTTAATCACTGCCACATTACTATGTATCTTACATACATAGTCATAATTACCTTTATACATACACTTTATTTTATTTCTATAGGTAAATACATTTTGTTTATCGTCGTTTAAAGTACAAAACCGCGTATCGTCATTCTGCAAAAACCACGTAACTGACATTGGCTGCCACAAATTGGATTTGCTCACACAAGCTCTTGGCTCAATCCTTATCCATTCGTCCTGAAATACACTAGCCAGAAGTGCGATTGCTTTATAAAAAAGAAAACCATTTTGTAATATGAGTGTTTTTACACTCTAGAAGATAATTTCGACAACTTTACATACGCGGTTTTGCATTTTGCTGATACGCGGTATTGCATTTTGTTGATACGCGGTTTTGCACTTTAAACGACGTTATGTAATGTTTCAGCTAGCCTTCGTTTAGTGAAAAATGATAATGAAAATGGATAGAAGTGAAAAAATAATTTTCTATTTAAATTGCTGGTGAAACCGGCAGTTAAGGGCTTGTTTAAGAAAAATAATTATGTAGGAAACTAGAGTATTTTCATAAAAAGCCGCCATAATTTTTTATATTACCCTCATATCTTATAAGACAGAAAGAAGTAACCAGGAATACTTGATAAGGATGTTTCATTGTTATAGAAGACCATGGAAGACCAAAAGAATTAAGAACAAATATGTAAATGCTTCTTAGCAATTTAGTAGTCCACCTTTACATGTACCATACAATTCCTGGAGTCATTGAAATCCAAGTTTCCAAGATAAGGGCTTTAATATCGGAACAGAGTTAAATTGGCAAAATCTTCATAAGGGAATTGCACACATGGCTGCCAACTATCCTTTGCTATGAGGAGCCATATTGAGAATAAAAGAGGGCCAAAATGTGCCAAATAGAAAAATAAAAGTGCCATCCTTTTTAATCCTTCCCATTTAGCAATAAAATAAAAACCACATTTCTAAAACAAAAGTGCAATGCCAAGATAAGATAAACCCGTTGAATAATCTTTAAAAATTAGAAAATTTTAGTTGATAAAAAGAAGTATTCGCGAAGGATTTCACAAAAATGTATTGAAATATTACTATTTTTGAAAAGTGCCATTATGGCACTAAGTGCTAAATTGAGAAATTAAGTGCCATTAGATGTAAAATAGGGCCAAAAAATGGCACGGTTTGAGCCAAGTTGGCAGCCCTGATTGCACAACCCTGAGTTCCTCGATCGGCTGAGCAAGCAAACCAGTCGGGGAAAGTAATGTTCTCCCAAACAGCCAAGCTTTTGGTGACCAAATCGTACCAACTTTCGCCTTATACTACACGAATATCCCGTCAAGAAGAGAGCGGCAAAAACCAAGACCGTGGAGAAGGGAGGAAATAAGTTCCTACACGGAATTATCCGACCGAATTCCGGACCACTGCAGCGTTTATCAGGCAGAAGTTCTAGCTATAAAAGAGGTGGCTGTTAATACACATGTTGTAGACAAGACTATAACACAGGGCGACAAAATAAGACCGATCTCCTTACCCAGAAACCAGAAACTATACTTTCCCGAAGGTTTTCGATGCGCTGAATTCAAATCTATCACATCATGATTTTGAGATATTCTTACCTATAAGTGCAAACATCACGGGTTTTGGGCACATTTGAGCTCCTGTAACTCGATGAACAAAATTTTTTTCAGAAAGATCATCTCGTTATTTAAAAGTACTACTCTTCCCTCCCTCCCTTCCCTCCAAAATTAATTTTAAAGCTTTGAAAAATCTTCATTTGTCACCGAGAAGTCGTCTATTGCATTTACTGAGTTTAGTTTTCTGCGGCTATGCACGTAATATAGATGCATCGGATTAAGGGTGCTAAATTCAACAGACGACTTCTCGGTGACAAATACATTATTCAAGAGGTCAATAGGTCATGGTTAGACGAGGGCACTTGTACAACAACTAGGCTACTATGTCCACAAATTGATAGGAAAAAACCGAAGATTTGCTGTCATGGCTTGTGTAATCGGTCATTGGCTATTTGGTAGGCACGCTTCGAGATTATAAATATTTCCTATCCATATTGCAGAAGTTGCTGAGACGGGGACGAAGAAGAAACAGTTGAGCACTTCTTCTGAAGCTGCCCAGCTTTAGCTAAGATAAGAGCGGTCTTTCTAGGTAGGCACTTTTTCAGCTCTCTCACGGAATTATCCGGTGAAGGAATAAAACCGATCCTGCGCTTCATAAAAGCTTCAAAATGGTTCTATGCAGAATAGTCACTGACGTTCCCGTGTTTCACAGTGGTATCACAATGGACCTGCAAGGTCTAAGTGAGTTGGTGATTGGACCGACTGCCACATCAACCTAATCTAACCTACACGGTAAGCCTCATCAAGTATGAATTTGGTTCTTCGGGACGTTACTGCTCAATTAGGGGTTTCCACATAACTTCCACGGAAATAACTTCCGTCGAACCGTGACTTAAGTTCCATGGAAGTTATGTCGTGAAATTACCACCATCGTACGATTTTGGTAGATGGAAGTAAAGGCTGACATTACTTCCACAGATTTGATTCATGGAAGTTATGTCAGACATAAGTTCCGTGATAATTTTACATATATTAAATGGGCCGCTCACTGAACAATTTGAATTTTAAAAATCTTAAATTTAAGTGTAAAAGCTGGATGTACGGCGCGAAATTAGGTATTTTCGCTTAAAATTTAGAATTTGGTTTGCAGACAGACCGGTTTCGGCGTTGTGTCATCTTCAGTGTAATTTTTCGTTCTGGATTAATATTAAAGTATTAAGGATAGACATGGTATTCCCTTCCACTACCTTCCACTACTTCCACTACTAACTACAAAAACAAAGAAGAATCACTGACTTCAACTTACCAGCAACACAAGCCAGAACAATTCATCTACCTATTCAGCACCGCAAATACTGCAAAATTAAGAAGACGTACCTAACAAAAGAAAGAGCTAGTTAATAAGGAGTATAAATACGAGCAACCAACAAAAATTTTCCAGAACGAAAAATGACACTGAAGATGGCACAACGCCGAAACCGGTTTGTCTCCAAACCAAATTTGACAAGGGATGACGGAAATCCGTTCCAAAATATGTCAATAAAATAATGGATGGATATAAGATTTTAGTAGCACAAGCAATGAATTTAATGCAGCCAATTTTCGAAGCTGTTGTTTTCTGACTTAACACGTCCTTTTTTAATTCTGAGATTTATTTAAAAAAAATGTTGAACGAACTTTCGATTTTCAGTTTAATAACATTATAGTTTAAAAAACTTAAACCTCGCCATTATAATTTCCATTCGTATTGTCATCAGGTATGTAACTTGAGAATATAAATCGCTGCATCTTAGTTTTGTAAGGAAAATTCGAATGTACAAACTTCAGCCATTCACTTAGAATGCGCCTAGTACCCGAAAATATGCTTTCGACAAGAGACTGCTGTCATGGGTTGAAACTTTTTACCAGGGGGCTCCTGGGGTCGCTGATACTGAATCTGAAGTCAGTTTTTCGAAATTCAAAATTGCGGATTCAATTTGATGATCTGCATCTAGATGCCCTAGGAATATTTCTGCATCAAAAAGAAAATTTTGGAAAAAATGCCGCTTACGTTATTTTGGCGGTTAGGGCTCGATATATACATTATACATTGTACATATATCGGGGATATATGGAGTATTGCGTATTTATATGTATATTGAGAAATTTTTGTAAATGTCTACGAGCCGCACTAAAATCAAGAGAGCTTTTGTTTTTAAATAGTTGTTTTGTAAGTAAAATTGCGTCCAAAGTATCTATGCTAAGCCTATTTGTGATTGCGATTTTTTTAACTTAAATTTTGGGAAAATTCTCTTTGCATTGATAAATACTTATTTTTATTAAAGTGCGCAAAACTTTCCCGGACGAACTTCAACAAAAACTGAAATTTTATGGGTTTTTTTGACGGGTGTAAGTCAAACCATCTAATTACACAGACATATTTGTGAACAATAATTTAAATAAAAACACATAATTAAACAAGGAAAAAGTATACGACTTAGT